GGTAGTTTAAATTAGGGTCCCTTTTAGGGTCCAAAATTAGAAGGGTGCCGTACTTTTTTGGGGACCTAAAAAGGGACCCTAATTTAGAGAATCACCCATTTTATGGTTTCGGGCCAGCCGTGATGACCGAAGCCTGAACTGATCTGTGCCCTTGAACCCTATCGGGATTGCGTCGCTTGCCGAGAGATTGCTTCGCCAGAGGAGCCCGAGTCCACGCAACAAAACCAACCTGAAAGCACGACTTAGGGTGTAGGGTTTAGAGTTTAGGGTTTAGGCTGGAAACTTCTACGATCCCAAGCCTTGAGCCCCAAGCCGCCCTCAATTCAAAGGGTTTAGGGTTTAGGCGTTTAGGGTTTAGGGCAAACTATTCCCGGAAGCCCTAAACCCCAAACCCTAACTAACGTTTTTGTACAATTCCCGCCGGAAGCCCGAAATACGAAACGTCTGTGACTCCTGCCTTACAAAGCAGGATCGTCTGTTCCCTCAGTTCAATTAGCGGGAATCTGAAAAGCGTGAGACTTTTTCGGTATTCCCGTGACGAAATCTCTGTTTAAGTGAGGGCAATGACTTAACCTTCGTCGCTGCCTACTTTCAGACGGTGGTAGTGCATTTAATCACAAGAAGATGGGGGCTTCAGCAATGAATGGGCTCAAGAGTATCTTCTCAGCGCTCACTCAAACTTAAACTGCGCTCTTTCAGAAATCCCAATGCATTGATGCTTCGGAGGCATTCGTGGCATTCGTTCGTGACCTGCTGACCCACGACCCAAGCCTCCGGCCAGAGGTGGAATTCGTTGCTTCGGACGTCTCTGGCTTTTGGTTTTTTAAACTTACCAACTGTAAAGCCTTGTAAGCCCTGAACAGGAATGCGTAAAGCAGAAACACAGCACCAAAGAAGCAATAACGCAGTGAGAAATACATGCAGTAGCGAGCAGCACATCGCATTTAGTATGCAGTAACATGCACAGTTTGTGTAAGTGGCAAAGACCAACAAAGCAATCCTAGCAATGGCTGTAAGCAGCAGCAGTAGTAGCAGGAGTGGTGGTAGCAGTAGCATTAGTAGTCGTCGTCGTGGCGTCGTAGTCGCAGTCGTGGTTGTAGTTCTGATACTGGTATATCGTAGTCGTAGTCGGAGCATGGGAGTAAGAGTCGGAGCAGGTGCTTCAGTGGTGCTGGTGGTAGTGTTGCCCGAGGTATTGGTCGGTGTCTGTAGGCGGCGCTGTCAAAATTTCAATAGTTCATGTTGCGTGCTTTTTATTCTGTCAAAAACGAAGACGGATTTGCAGGGTTTAGGGTTTAGGGTTTAGGGTTTAGGGGGTTTGATTGGACAAATGGTCGCAACCTGCATGTGGAGGCCGCTGCGGCCTTGTCCTCGGAGCCACCTGTCTGCAGGGGCTTGGGGTTTAGGGTTTTGGAGTTTAGGGAGGGTTTAGGGTTTTTGGGTTTTTGGCGTCCGAGCTATTGCTAGGGCCTTTCGTTCAAGCTGTCTACTGCTCAGGATGTAACATACAGAGGTAGTTCTTTAGTAAGGGTGACTCCCTTCCGGCAGACCGCCAACCTCGAATGTTGTGCTTAGCTTGGCGGACCTTGATGTGCAACATGTCATCTCCTTGGACTTGACCCGCCTGCTTGTCGAAGGTGTTGCTTAGAATCGTAACGCAATTGTTGGGCCCTGAACCCTAAACCCCCTAAACCCTGAGCGTCGTCGTCATACTGAAGCTCAGAGTTTTTGACAGCGAAGAGCGAAAAGGAAGTTTACAATGCCTGGAGCTCGGAATACGTCTACTATGCGCAAGCTTAACGTGCTATATGCGATCGCTCGAGCTTCCCGGGCCCCAAGCTTATCCAAACAGTATGAAATAAAAGCCTCTCTTGTGCTGGTTTAGGGTTTATAGGCTTCAGGCTTGGTGTGGCTGTATAGGGATTGGGGTGGGACTTTATAATGCTGGGCCCCAAAACCCAAAGAGCATGCCGACTCATGAATCAGATCGCAGACTCCCGAGCGCCTGAGGTTCTTCAAGCAGGAGTACAGGGAGTGACGCAGAGGCCGATTCGCGGGATTCGGGTGCAGGGCATAGGGGTTGGGGATGCGTAGGCACCGGTCGGCGCCTCAGTCCGTTCTGAAAAGAGGTCGGGTGTATAGTCAGTTTAGAGTTGAGGCTACCCAAGTCTAGAATTCTTGGGCCGTTCAGTGCGCGTAGGACTGCGCCATGTTGGGACTGCTACAAGTGCATGCATATATATATATATGTTTATTTATATTTATATATATATATATAAGTATTTTCGAAGAGACACACCCATAGCACCCCGGAGACACTCGGTTACCTGCGCAGAAGTCCGAAGCTCTGGAGCCCCGGATGGCTCAGACGGAAGCCAAGCTCCACAAGCAGCTTGAGTCTTGAGTCTACTGTGGGGGCCTTAATACTTAGAATAGGGTTTTGTGGTATATTATACTCTAATTCTTATCCCTAGATAGTCAGGTTAATCTACGCCCCTTGCCCCACAGCCCTACAGTGCACATGAGGGTGGTGCTGGCGTGGTCTCCAAAGGGCAGGCTGCTGCGTTTTCTTGACGATGTCTGTTCCATGTTGCACTGTTCACGCAGGGTACGTAGAAGCCTGAATAATTGCTGTTAGTACTATTGTTTACGGTTCCAATCGTGGTTACAACTAGTTAACCCCGAAACCATTATCAAGCATGCTGCATGCCTGTGATGCCTCAGGCCACCGTCGAACCGAACCAAAGACAGGACCGCAGCGCTTTGAAAGAAAAGCCACACTGAAGAGCAGTCTGCGGATGTCTGCTTGCTTGTAGAACCGTCACAACCATTCAGAAAAGAACACGCGACTTGACTCAATCCATTGGGCGCTAAAGCACGAAATCCAACACTGATGGCACCAATGTTCTGATGACACCGGACCAGCATAGCAACAAGCGAGCTTCTGCAGGCGCTCTTATGGGTGGAGAGACTACTCCTGAACCCTAAACCCAAAACCCAAAACCCTGGTTGGGGCTCTTTGTGCTAGTTTCCCACCGATCAGACTTTGTGGAACCTCGCCTGGCTTGTCCGAGATGTGAGAGCGTAAACCCAAAACCCTGATCAGTGCGGCAGTTTCGGAATGTCGAACCCCAAACCGAAAAGACAGCCACTGAAGCCCTGAACCTTGGATTTGTTGTGCTTCTTATAATACTAGAAAACTATGATATACCCTTTCAAGCCTTATTTAAATACCGTGATATACCCGATACAGCCCTATTCAAATCGTTCAGGATCCTGCCTCTAAAAGTCTTAGAAGGTCCTCGACACCTTTTTTGCAAGTCGGCCTCAGGATTCCGGATGACGGGAGAATCGTATGGGTGGTTGTCAAAATTATGGTCCCTTTTTGGGTTCTGATTATAGTACGGCACCTATTATTTAGGGTACCCCAAAAGAGACCATAATTTTGACAACTACCCATATGAATAGAGGCGGAATGCCGTTGCACAGACTGATGCGCTGCAGCCTTGCCACCCATTTCGACGAGCTTAAGGCATTGACAGAGCCAGGCACTCCCTGCAGAAGCTGCCAAGGGAAGACAAATCCCTAAACCGAGTAAAGCCTTCGGCGATGCACGCAGGAGATGCCACGATTTTATGGTTGGCTTTAGGGTTTAGGGTTTAGGGGTATGTAGGGTAAGACGGCCCTCGCACAAGCAGAACAGTCAGGATGTTGACAACCTTCCCTACCGGACCACGACAGGAGAAGCTAAGACCCCCCGAATCTGCCGCCCCCACCACCAAATCCTACGGCAAGAGATCCTTCAAGAATTCCTCTAAGCGATCCGTTTTAAGGGGTCCTTGAAGGGATCCTTTAAGGGTTCCTCTCAGAGATTTTTATTTAAGGGTTCCTTTGCTTGCAGTTGCCATAGTAGTTCACGGAAGGCTTGTCTTAGGGTTTTTGGGTTGAGGTTATTTCTGGCTCGATGTCCTTCTCATGATAATTCTCCCTACACCCTAAACTCCCTAAACACCCTAAACTCCCTAAACTCCCTAAACTCCCTACACCCAAAACCCTCTTATCATGGGCTACCCAAGTCACGGGACAAAGAACCCATTTACCCTAAACCCTAAACCCTAAACCCTAAACCCTAAACCCTAAACCCGACCTGGGAGCCATGGGCCTTGCTTCCAGAGCATCCCGGCGCTCCAGAGGCAGGGCTAAATATTGTGAGGTGGGAGTTTCCGAAAGTTAGGGTTCAGGGTTTAGGGTTTATAGGGTTTAGGGCTTAGGGTTCAGGGTTTAAGGGTTTCCGAAAGTAGGGGGTACCTTATTTTGGGGTCCTGATAATAAGGATCCTACTGTTTAGACGGGGGAGGGGCTGGAGCAACAGAAAGCCTGTCGAGTCTGGGAAGCGGGCGTTCAACTTTAAACCCGAAAACATCAAAACCTTCAGAGGCCCTCTTATAGTAGCTCTTCTAAAGACCCATTCGGGATCCTTTACGGGAACCTTTAAGGGATCCTCTAAGGGAGCCTTTAAGGGATCCTTTAAGGGAGCCTTTAAGGGATCCTTTGAGGGATCCTCTAAGGGACCCTTTAAGGGATCCTTTAAGGGAGCCTTTAAGGGAGCTTTAAGGGAGTCTTTAAGGGATCCTTTAAGGTATCCTTTAAGGGCTCCTTCAAGGTCACCCTTTGGGCATGGGGGGGATTCCTCAGAGCACGAGACGAAAGCTTTCCAAAAGTTTCCCTGGGGCCCCCGTCCACCGGGCCTTCGTTCCGAGTGTAGAGTTTGGGGTTTAGTGTAGGGTTTGGGGTTTAAGGAAGGGTAGGGTTTAGGGTAGGTTTAAGAGTTTAGGGCTTGCGGTTCATGATTTATGGCTTCGTGCGTACAGTTCTAGAAATGTAGCTGAAGGCTTCGGGTTCCTAGTGTTCAGAATCATTGCTTCAGGGTCTAGGATGTAGCGTTTAGGATTTCAGCGTAAACCCTAAACCCTAAACGGTTTATGGGGCGCTTTTCTGAGGCAGCTGGCTGCTGCTGGCGGCTTTGCTGTGCTCTTGCTGCACTCCTCGCACGTGGACAGGACCTCCCCTGCCCCTCCCTGCAAAGTATAGTAGAAGCCAGAAAGTTGGAACATGATTCTCCTCATGCCCTTAAGGTAAAGTATAAGGGATTCTAGCACTAACCCTCCTAAAGCCATGTTCCAACTTTCTGGGGTTTGCTGTATGTTCATTTGGGGAGTTAAGGAGTGTCAGGTTGTCGGATTTGCAAAACTCATCGGGTTTTGGGCCTCAGATTTAGAGCCGAAGTCCAAAGTTTGAGCTGGCGATGTGGTTCGGTCGGCTTCGGTCGCAGATGCGTTTCCTTTCGCAGGCGTGGCGTGGTGCTGTGACCTGCGGCCACCATGTAGGTAGTTCTCTGAACCCATGGGCCCCATAGTAGCTACGTTTTGTGGCTTATATTTAAAATCCTATCAGGTAATCCCAAAAAGGAACTACTATGGGGCCTATGGGTATTCGCTAAATCCAGACACGCCGCTGGTGATCTGCCCAGAAAACTCCCAGGTTCCGGCGTGCATTGCTCGGCGCCGCGGGCGGCGGCCTACTTCTTCCTGTGCACGCGGCTTTCGGGGACCCTGCGTCACGAAATCGTGTGATTTCGTTCCAAGAGGGCCCAGCGACGCACCGGACCATAGACTGTTGGAGCCTAATGCCACTGTTTATGGATAGTGGTAGTACCGCAGTTGTTTGACGCAGCCAGATTCAGATGACTCTCCTCGTTCTTATCCTACCTGATGTCAGCGTATCTTAGCTCATGCCATGTTGTGTTACCTTGTCTCATCAGCTTAAGCATACCTTACATTATATTCTTGTTATCTTGACCTCCATCTCTACATATATCGTCACATGTAGCTTCATCTTTCGTTACATTTGCCAATCTTGTCCTCCTTTTTGTCTGGCGCCATATTTCCGCATTTGTTATCTTGCAGTATCTCATTTCTTTTTTAACACTACCTTAGTTAATGACTTACCTTGTACATGTTCCTGTCTTATAAACTTGCCTGAGTTTAGATTATATTTTATTTTTATTTTATGTTGTCTTGTATATCATCTTATCTGGCCTCATCTTATTTCATGTATTGCGTTATCGTATACATTGTCTTTTATCTTATCTTATATGTCATGTATTATGAATTTATGTTGCTGTTACATTGTAGAGTGTTTGTTTTCGGCTTACGCTGATCCTTTATCAGTTCTTATCTTGTCTTGCATACTGTTTTAAACTTGTCTTAGCACATATATTCCCTTACGCTATCTTATGTTTCATGTTATTCGACATTGTCTTATCTGACCCTGTCTTCTTGCTATCTCTGTGTATTTGAATCTCATCTCACCATATTTTGCGTTATCTAATCTCCGTATCTTATGTTCTTACCTCTAACTGTTACCATCTTTTACCTGTACCTCTACTGTTGGGTTGACACTTGCTTCTCCTCTTCCCTTAACTTGCCCCCTGCCATCTCTGTTTATACTATGTTGTCTTGTCTGAGATCTTATCTTATGTTACCTTCTCTTCTCGTTCCTGCTTATCTTTTCGTAGCCGCGTCTTAAGCCTGACGTGCTTCCCTTTCAGGAGGAGCGTCTTTGTCCATCTGGCGCTTTGGTTCACCTTCAGGGCACCACAGGTGCCGGGCTCGGATGTGGGGCCGCGCTTGGCAAAAGTCACGTGGTTTTTGGGGTTTAGGGTTTTAGGATTCAGAGAGACCCTTTAGGATTTGGGGTTTTAGGATTCAGAGAGACCCTTTAGGATTTAGGGTTTTAGGATTCAGAGAGACCCTTTAGGATTTAGGTTTTAGGATTCAGAGAGACCCTTTAGGATTTAGGGTGTAGGATTCAGAGAGAGAGAGAGCTCGTTCAAGAAGGGTTTTAGGTTAGGTTTGGGTGTCTTGGGGGACTGGAGAGAATTGGGCTGATCTGAGGACGTCTCAGACTCGGGGAGGGGGTGTAAAGCAGAATCTGTTGAGGTCTTGGTAGTGAAGATGATGAATATCCAAGCAGATGCATGGTAAGGACAGACTATGTTCATGGCTGCTGCTCTCTCCCATTCCACCCCCGGCATAGGGACTGTGCATCCATTTTGTATAGGGCCCAGGAACAGATGCTTCCGGTTCTGCCAGCTTGTGGCATCAACGTCGCAGAATTTTTTGAGCTCAGGTGATGTTTTCGTCCTCGGCGTGACGCACCTTAGCAACAAGTCCGCCGAGGTCGTGCGCAGCGTGGTGCAGAGGGCGGCCCCCGACTTGGTCACTTAGTAGCTGAATGGGTACACCGCACACGTGTTGAAAAAGAGCATTCCGTACAGAACTGAAAGTTTACACCCTTTGGGCTCACGAACTCAACTAAGGTTATGGTCGAGTTGGACGCGAGCCGAGTAGGCTCTGTTTCCCCTCCTTTGGCAAGATCTACTAACATATGGGTAGTTTTCTAAATTAGGGTCCCTTTTAGGGTCCTTTTTATAAGGGTGCCGTACTATATTGGGGACGCCAAAACGCAACCCTAATTTAGAGAATTACCCATCGACTGACATATATGTAGGATGCGCAATTGGCAAATGTAACTCAGGACTCGTTAAACTGTCGCGGGAAAGAATGCACTGGAGGATCCCATGTCGATAAAACGTGGAAGCCGAAAGAGCGAAATGGGGGTTTCCGAAAATAGGGGAACCCTAATACAGTACCCTAAATAGTAGGATCCTTATTATAAGGACCCCAAAATAAGGTACCCCGTATTTTCGGAAACTCCCAAATTGCTCGCAGACCGGAAAGCACCCTCTTCGTGCCACCCGTGCCGCAAACCCCGCACTTCTACGAGGGCTGCTCTTGAATTTCCGCCCCTATCGGACACCCCGCCCCAAGCGCGCCTTTCTCACCTTCAGTGATTCAGCCCCAGCAGGTTGAGGAACTATAAGCCAAAAGCCTCGAATCACGAATTCGGCTTGGAGTTGAGGTGTCGTTGTTTCGGTTTAGGCCTTCTGGGCTTGAATGCTGAACCATGATGTTGCAACACTAGGCCCTCATTTCTCGCAGGAGTGTCTGAGCGCCAACCTCTACGCATCAGACTCTAAACCTCTCAAGCTGACTACAAACAAGGGTCCCTAAACGTTAAACCCGAGTGTAAACCCAAAGCCCTAAACAATTTCTGAGAGCCACACGAAGACCCCAGGCCTACGTTGAGCCCTGAGCCATAAACCAGCGAGTGCAGGAGCTCCCCCAAACCCTATACTATAGGGGCCTTAAGAATTAGAAAAGGGTTTGGGGGTAGACTATACTATATATAATTTTAGCACAAGGAGCCCCCCCAAAAAAAGTCTAGGTAAGTATTAAGGCCCCTAT